ACACACCTACTCATTGAATATTGGTTCAAAGAAAGAAATGGTACCAAGTCCATTAAAATGGCTGAGAAAGCCACTAGGGGGACATTCTGAGCTTCTGATTGATTATTCATGCCATACATAGAAGTAAGTATATATAAGGGAGTGTTTTCAAAAATGGAAAGAGGTGGGCTGGGTGCCACTGTGTTTGATTTATTACATTAGCAAGATCTTAGCAAACTGAAAAGATAAAAGGCTATTATTTTATATTCTAGCTTGTCAATATCAGTAATTTGAGTTTCTAATTTGTTTGTCTGTGTTTTTTAATATTTGCTTTTAAATTAAGAAATTGAGTAATATATAGTAAGGGTTAAAGACCAAATGGCACTTTTCATCCATATTTTATGTTCTTTGCAAGTGTAACCTTAAGTTACATGAAGCATGACAAATAAAATAGAAAAAAGATAAAGTTTCTGTTACTCAATGTGTATTGAATTGTTAATGTTACAAAAGCACAAAGAAAACAAAGAACTTCATTCTGTTGACCCTTATAGTATTTTAAACTTCAACAAAGTCACCTTTTATTTTCTTAAAAGAAAATTAGCAATCTTATCAATATTATTAATGTAAATAAGAAAAAAGCAAAGGCTCTATAACCTTTACCTTCCTGTAATCATTGTAATAGACTTTAAACCCTTTCTAGTAAGTCAGTATCCTTTCTTAGACAAGAGACCAAAATTGTACACAGTATTTGAAGTAAGGCCTGACTAATAATATGTACAGAGAAATAGTTACCTCATTTGAATTTGTGATAATAGCTTCAGATAGCTCACACAGACACATCAAGTGATCCTGGAGACTATTTATTAACATATAAAGATGAGTTACACAAGATGTTTGATAAACACAGAACAGTTAACAAGCACATAATGAGTGGCAATTCCAACAGGCACTGGTTAGATTGCCACCAATACAGTATTGCCTGTTTAAGTGATACTAATAAAAAAAAACTACAAATAGAGAAAAGTCAGAAAACTCTTTACCTCGCTCAACAGTTGAGTATTTATTTACTGCAGCTCAGGATATGATGATGTCACTTTTATGATAATTAACTGTATGTCACAAACCAGTCAACAATAAATACCTTGTACATGTAATATGATTTGACTATTGTTATATTATGCACAGTTATTTAAGCTTAGACAAGGTGATTGCAGGAAAGTTATAAGTTGTTTTTAATAGAAGTTATGCATTTGTAATGTAATAAGAATGAATAATATGACATTACATATCATGTAATGATTATGTGCAGACTCCTGCATTTAAAGGGAAAATTAATACTAATTTAATTTCTCCCTTAAATACACCCTAAAATGCTATAATATGTGGCTTAAATAATAGCCCGGCATGTCAAGGTGATAAGGGCACTCGACTTGCAATCTGAGGGTCAGGGATTCAAATCCCCATCCAAATAAACATGGAAAATTGGTTTTTTTTGAGAAATAAAAGGTGGCCTGAGTGTAATTATTTTTTCTTTGAGTAAGTGTGGAGGGACAGCCTTTAAAGACCAAATGGCACTTTTCATCCATATTTTATGTTCTCTGTAAGTGTAACTTTAAGTTACATGAAGCATGACAAATAAAAGAGAAAAAAGATAGAAAGTTTCTGTTACTCAAATAATGTGTATTGAATTGTTAATGTTACAAAAGTACAAATAAATCAAAGAACTTTTCTTACATATCTAATTATAAAGATTAGAATGTATTGTTTCATCAGTTTGGGTACTCTTGATTTTAATGATATTTTCATCCTAAAACCTAATAACATATCGAGGGGTTTGACCAGCTTAGGAGATTTAGGTTGGTCCTAAATATGAATTTTAAGCTAAAAATGCCAACCAATTTTTAAAATAAAGTAACTAGTATAAGTAATATTATTAATGAAAAGACAAATAAACAAAATAGCATATCATACTTAGGGAATTCATAAACTCAAAAACACTTGTTCTCATCTTCAACCATAGTCATTAATTGTTGTTATGTAGTAGTGTTGCTATTCTGACTTTCTTTGATGAAGTGCAGTTGATTAAAGAATTGATGGCATGTGTTTTAGTTGGATGCATCAATTTTTTCACAGCACAAACAAAAACCAGTGTTTGTGAAAATACAAATAAAAACAAATAAAATGACACCTGATTTGATCATTATAACTATTAGTATAATAAAAAGAAAACAACTAACTAAATGGTACTTTTTCATTATACCCCCACAAATGGTAAGTTTTACTATATGAATACAATGCTTAATATATTTTTAGAAATTTGTTATGGGTATTTATTATATAATTGATATATATTATATAATTTATATATCATGTAATTTATATATTTTAATTATTATATAATTTATTATATTTATTACATATATCATTTATT